GACTATGAGCAATTGAGACAACTCAATTGATTTTTATACTTTAATAGATTACAAACTGTTATTACCTTGTCTTAGTTATAATTGTTTGTTTTCTATTCTCAACCTATCTTATTGGATGATATCTGGCGGAACTCTGCCGGACATGAGAATAAAGGTTATATAATAGTGTTCCAATGTTTTTTTATAAAAGAATGTTTTCATAGTCTATGCTTAGGAAATGTGGATTGTTTGCAAAGTAGTTAAAATAGTTAGAGTAGGTAGGTGGATAGTCCTCGCTAACCGCAAATAGGTTATAGTTAACTGAATTTTGTAAAACATCTTTCTTTAAAACCCAAATTGAATGAATGTTATTGAGTTCAATTCATTTGAAAAACATAATTGTTAAATCCCCAGAGTTAGTATAATTAAGCATAGTATGATGGTTGTGGTGAAGTCAAAACCCTAAGATTTTTCTCTCTGATTATTTAATTTACTCTTGTTTAATATTTTGCTTTAATTTTAGTTCGTTTTTAATTGTAACAACCAACATATTTCTCAACCAGTTACCTGTAAACCAATAAACTAAATTGAAAACTGAATATAAATCTCATCTCTCTGTGGGTTCGACACCTCTCTTTATAGTACTATCCTACGTAGAATCGTACTATTGCGAGTCGTAAAATTAGACACATCAACGTACTTGACCTTCTTTTATGAATTAAGATCTTTTGTGCATGATGTTAAGCCTATATAGCAGACCTTGAGCTTTAATACCAATTGTAAGTTTGTGTAGCGGAAGATATTGTGGAAAGTTTAAATAAGAGCAAAATTGAAGCAATCTTGAGATGAATCAAAGAAATGAGTAAAGTAGGAGCAAAAGGAAGCAAGTGGTGGAAATTCAGCAAGTTCGATCGATCTCAGAAAATATTCGATCGATCGAAAGTTTATCGATCTCAGCATTCCAAGATAGATTTAAGCTTTTTTGTCCTTATCCAAAGATCCCACAAAGTTCGATCGATCCAATTTTTGTTCCGATCGATCGAAAAGATTTCATCTTATCCACTTGTACCACCCTACCTACCACAGTTGTCTCTTTTCCAAAAATATCTTCAAAATATCTTAGATTTGTTTTTATCCAAAAAGGCGCCGCCATAGAGGATTGATCCAGCTTAAAGGAAACAATAAATTATTCTCAATCTCTAATTCACATATCTCAATTCTAATAGGACTACAATATCAACTTGGACTATGGCTGAGAATCCTTTGGCCTTACTATTTTCTTGGCTATTATAAATTAATAATTGGTCTGATCCATTAAACCATAGACCCAATTCAATTAATTCATAAATTAATTTTTACTCCACTAAAAGAAATTAATTGCACTCCAATTAAATAGTACATAACATCTAAGTCAATGTTTCACTTTAACCCCTCTACGCATAATTATTTATCGGATTATAAAGTCATCAATCCGACAACATAATTAATATAATTATTTTGTTACTTTTGATTATTTCCGGCTTGATCACAATAAAATATTTGTTTGACAAAAATAATAATTTACTAAATAAATATATAAAAAACATTATGTCTAAAATATACGAAGGCATTCGAATTTAATTTGTGATTAACCATAATCAATACAAAAAAATTACAAGCAGCATTGATGCAAATATTAAAAATATAACCCTCTAAATATTAATTACATAATTACCCAAAGTGACGGTATATGGATTCCGAAGATTCAGCCGAACAAATCAAAGTAATTACTAATTAATAAAAGAATTTATATTTCTCTCATGCTTAAGAGTCAAATGCCATGACAGTGATAGGGAGCAATTGCATATGACGGCTCTCACAATATATCTCAATCTAATGCAGATGCAGTTCAAGTCTTAGTTAATAATGAGTTCATCCATAATTACCGACTATGAATAATTTATGATTACCATTATATTTATGTATTGATTGCCATCACATATATATATAAATATTTCTTGTAATCAAGTGGACACTAACAATTCTATAATGAATCGCAACATAATACATTGAATTCACCAATTATATAAATCATAAATATTTTAGATATGTCAGGAGCATACGTCACTATAATTCAAATAGGAATTTGCTATACCAGGGCATATAAATCACAACATAATCCTAGATGACTACCAATGTTTATATAGAGTTAGAATGTCCTAATCCTTCTGAAAATATGAAAAATTTCGTACATAGGACTTGAATAGAAGTTGGGAAAAAAAAAGGAAACAATCAAAAGAAGAAGAAGTTCTAATGCTGACAGGACTTCCGGTACCGGTTCCCAAATCTTAGTATATATTGGCTAATAATGTAAGTAATAAATATATATATAGCAATACAGGTGTTCCATATCACTGGGACTATAACAAATTTTGCTGTATAAAGTGAATTAGTATGGAAATCGTGAATTAGGAAAACAAATTCGCGAATTGCAAAAATTGAATTCGCAAAATTTGTGCGAATTCGCTTCCAAATCACAAATTTGCGTGTGAAACTTGAGAGCGAGACCACTTTAAACGAATTGTGTGACTAAGGTCACATCCAAAATATTTGTATGATAAATTGGGAAAAAAAATACCCTCCTGGTTAGCATTTTTTTAGGCAGGAATTGATGTCTTAGTATGAAAAGCGGAACAGTGTACTTTGCTGTGCATTAAACGAAGTCTTGTAAATGTAACATTATTATTTCAAGAATTCAATATTCATTATTTTACTTCAGTACATGGAGAATGGAACATTTTGACTTCTAAGTAAGGGGTTTGTATTTTAAAAATAATACTATAACCTGATATGTTTGGAGCACTTTTGAATTTGAAACTGAAAAAAAAATTAATTTAAAATTTATATTAAATTTTTTCTAATCTCAAATTAAGATCACGATAATGTCAAACAAATCAACTTTGTAAGCTCTCTCTGGAGAGAAAAAAAAAAAAAAAAAATAGCAACATTGTATTTCCTAAAGCATGGAAGCATTGATACATAACTATGAAGCACGGACACTCCTCCTAGGGGTCCCGACCAGTGTCGGACACTTTTCGAACACCGACACCCGTATCCGATACTTCTGTGAAGTGTGCAGAAATTATTTTTTATTGGACACGGCTCGGACACGCGGAGGACACGGGGTGGACACGCGGAGGACACGCGGGGGACACGGAGGGATATATTTTGTAATTTTTTTTTAAAGATAAATGGGATACCTAATGTTATTTACTAATTTTAAAAGTTTAAAAGTAAAATTTTGAAAAAATAAAAAAACAACTACTTCCTCTCTCAATCTCTCTTCTTCTTCAATTATCTCTTTACATGAACAAGACTTTTTTTTTTTTAAGTTACGTGAACAAGACTTGGTAAAAGACTGAAAGTATATATGTTTATTCATATACATATTTAGCTCATTATAGCTATATCTCTTCTGTACATCTTCCTTTGGAATTTAGATTAACTTTATTTTTCATTTATTTTCTGTTTTGTCTTGTCTATATTTTTCTTATAACAGAGATGAAATTATTAAAATTGGTCTTGTTATTTGTTATTATTTTATTTGTAATTTTGTATTTATATATACCTATTCTAGTAATTATATTTTGAATATATAATTATATATATATATAATTTTTTAGGCGTATTCCCACCGTGTTCGTGTCTTATTTTTTTTAAAATTTGTCGTGTTACTTTATTCGTATCGTATCGTACTTGTGTCCCGTGTTCGTATCCATATTTCATAGATACACAACAATAGTTGTCGTTAGTACGTGGAGGGATTGTCCTCTAGTATGATGCTAATTTGGGATCACTGTGACGTGAAAAATGGGAGTTCAATTTATTTAGTATTTAATTTCAACTAAACGATGATAAAAGAAAGAATAAGAGAACTTTTTCAGTTAATAATGGGACACGAGAAAATGACTAGTTTGGTTCATCCAAATTATAAAACTGGTGGCCATTTCTGTAGAGAAGGCATTATCATGTTGCGTGACTGACACAGTTGCGCTATCACAGTTTGTCCTAAGTCCACTATAAAAACAACTCACACACACACACACACACACAGGGCCACTCAACTACTCAAGTGTCACATTGATTCTGATTCCATTTCAATAAAGATTTGTTTATATATATATATATATAAACATTTGAAAATCGAGCAACAAAAAAAAATCATGGTAGATTAGCTGGGTTAACAAGTTTTTAAAAGTAATTGTTCAACTTCATTTTGTTTGCTAAACAAGTTTATATAAGAAATTTACGTTCACATTATGTCCTTAAATTTAAACCTTTAATGACCTGAGTAGCATAGTTTTAGGAGTGTCGGAAGCTTCAAGTTTGCTTGGTTTATAACTATGAAAACAATTTTTTTTTTTTTTCTCCAAAAACTGAAAACTGTACAAAAAATTCTACTTGGTTCTGTTTTCTGAAAACTCGGTTATAAAAAGACATTATCAGAGAACAGTCTTTTATAATTCTCTGAAAATTGTTATCTGTTTTCTAAGAACTGTTTTCAGAATTACAAACCAAGCTGATCCTGTTTTCTGTTATCTGAATTCTTGAGAACTGTTTTCATAAAATTGAAAACATTATATAAAAAAACTCTACATGGTTCAGTTTTTAGAAAACTATTTTCTGAGTCTGCTTGGTTTATAATTTTAAGAACAGTTTTGTGTTTTTAAAAAATTGAAAACAAAAAGCTTTATAAAAAATTAAGCTTGATTCAGTTTTCTAAAAACTATTTTCAGAAAATTCATTTATAAAAAAACATGTTTTTAGAGTTATAAACCAAACAGACACTTATTTAATTACTTCTATTATTGCTGATTTTGTTATTAAATAATGTGAATCCATCAAATATCACAAGACATATATATATATATATATATATATATATATATATATATATATATTGTGGAACAGTGGGTAGTTACATTAAACCCCCTTCATTTTGTGGATCAACATCACTTGTAGAATTATCATCCTCAACCTTCTCAACATTTCAATACTTGTACAACCTTGCACATACTAACTAATAACCCAAGTTTAACACCCCAACCACAGTTAACGTCCAATACACTGTGGTTAAATAATAACCCAAGTTTATACACATTATCTAGTCTCCCATTATTTATATTATCCGGTAACGATCCTGTTACCCTCCGAACCAAATCGATCAGGGCCGTGCTTAGATAGAAACCTATCCCGATAAGCATCGCGATCATCGCAGTTGATGTGCTTTTTAAAGACACCGGAAATTCTTGATAGTACAATGCACCTTGTCCCGGAAAATGAAATGCTTCACCAATACCAACAATGACCAGTAGTGGAAGGAGCCACAAGGCCAACATTGGCACTGTGGAACCTGGCTGGTCTTGGACGTGGTGGGCTCGGGCTATATCAAGTCGCTTGGACTCCACTATGGCTGACACAGCCATGCTAAGTACATTTAACATGTGGCCAAGACCGATACGTTGGAGTGGGGTCGGAGATTCACGAGTTAGCTTTTGCCACGTGGGGCATAGGAATCGGTCGATGATGATGCGAGAGATGGAGGTGGAGATGAATGCAGTGACTAGGATTGATCCAGCTGGGATTTTGAAATGAGGCCCAATGTGACGGTCCATGCTTAGAGTTTGGAGGACCACTAAGCTAGATTGGATCCCTATTGTGGTCCTTATTAAAATACTAGTGGACCATAGTGGGAAAATTCTGATTAAAGTCTTCAGATCTTCTACTTGTTTCACACTGCATAGCCTCCATGATCTTGTGATTTTGCCTTCTAATTGTGCGTCCTCCTCTGTTTTCAGTGCTGCGCGATTTAAGCACCTGCAAATAGAAGAGTGTTGATTAAAATGAAGATATATATATATATATATATATATATATATATATATATATGTATTAAAAAATGTATTAATTCAGAAAGTAACCTTACTTGAAGCTTTTAGTTGGTGCTGTTGGCATCATGCTTGTCACCCCATCATGCTCATTGTAATAATCCTCACTTCTGGATGAAAGCGAGACCTTCCTCTTTCTATGTGTAAACGAAACAATGTTTTAAGCATCTCTGTCCTGATTGCATTTTATAATCTTATACAGGTACTTTCCTTATCTATTCTATGTGGATTTTGAAGCATCAATGGCCGACCAAAATGCACAAAATGCCCTTGGCATCTAATGGTGTGGTTATTTTATCAGTTTAAGAGTGATGAATCTTAACCATAGATGATATGAGAGATGCACTTTTTTTTTGGCAGGAAATGGCTACATTCTTGAGAGTTTTGGGGAGTTATCCGGCAGACCATGATATGTGACCTTTGAAGCCTGGTAAGAATTCATTACTCGACCAAATATGTTCCACGTAGACACTGACTGGGAAAAATCATTGTCACATTGAGTCGATTCTTATAATGCCTAATATCTGAAGTAATATTTTCCAGTTATTCGACCTGATATAGGGAAGACTTTGTGACTCTACTCTTAACACTCTTGGAGGCTGGATGCCCTTGTTTAATGCAGGACTAAAGGAAAGATTTGACCATGTTCTGCTTTTGTCGCATTTCAAGAAATTTGGTTTGATATGGATTAGAGAATATGCACATAGTTGCTACGTTTGTTACAACATTTTCACATATCAGTTAAACTGCAGTTCGTTATTCATTCTCCCGATACTACACATTTTTGTTGTTTACTTGATCGCCTGAAGAGAGGATACGGTTTACCAACAATTTAGTATTGAAATATTTCTGGTGAGCTGCGTGCCTCTGTGCACGCCTGAGAACTTATGCTTCGAGTGGGAGATCATGCTGAAACAAAGAGGGTCATGCCCGGTATGGTCCCGTTAACAAAGGATGCTAATAGACCACTCCATGCACACCTAAACTTTGACATTATTTGTATAAAGTGGTCCATCCCGAGCTTTTAGCTTGAGTTCATCGGAGCTCATTAAATGGCCTTGGTGGTTTGGTTTGGGGGGCTCACCTGATGAGCAGTGACCATTGTGTCGTCTTAAATTGGTGAATCACACAGTTCAGAAGGTAGTAGTTATTTTGGTTGAGTGGTTTGAAGTAATCATATATTTTGTATATACACGGGTGAAGTGCAAAACATTGAACTCTGTACTGAAAATTGATTTTTGATGCTTTAATTAATATTTATATCATTATATGTATAAGTGATTAATGGATAGTTAAGGTATTTAAAATCTCATCATATTAAAGAGATTTTTCCCCACAAACTAACTAAACAATACAATTTAACAATTTATAGTAGTAGAACTATGAAAAGAACAAATAATTATAAAAAAATACGAAAAATAAACTCTTAAATATAAAAATAATGATGAAAGGCAATGTGAGGAGTTCATCGTCGAGTTGAATAAAAAATGTTACAAAATTAGAAAGTAGATTTCTCAAATTTCATAAATATTAAATACATACTACTTATTTATCTTTCAATCACGTAACATCCAAAACATTTGTATTATAAATTGGGAAAAAAACACCCTCCTGGTTAGCAATTTTTTACATAATTAAAATTGAAATAATTTTTAGGTTCTCTTTTATGTTCTACAGGAATTGATGTTTTAGTATAAAAATCGGAACAGTGTATTAAACGAAGTTTTGTAAATGTAACATTATTAGTTTAAGAATTCAATATTTATTATCTTTTACTTCAACAAATGCAGCACACGGAGAATGGAACATTTTGACTTCTAAGTAAGGAGTTTGTTTTTTTTAAATAATACTGTAACATGATGTGTTCGGAGCAATCGGTTGGTGTTTTGAATTTGAATTTGAAAAAAAATTTAATTTAAAATTTATATTAAAATTTTTTTTTTTCAATCCCAAATTGAAGACTTTGTAACCTTGAGAGAGAGAGAGAGAAAAAAAACATAGCAACATTGTATTTCCTTGAGCATCGAAGCATTGATACACAACAATAGTTGTCTTTAGTATGTGGAGAGATTGTCCTCCACTATGATGCTAATTTGGAATCACTGTGACGTGAAAAATAAGAGTTCAATTTATTTATTTAATTTCAACTAAACGATGAAAGAAAGAAAAAGAGAACTTTTTCCGTTAATAATGGGACATTGTGACACGAAAAACGACAAGTTTGGTTCATCCAAAATGGTTACGGGTGGCCATTTCTATCGAGAAGGCATTATCATGTTGCGTGACTGACACTGATGTGCTATCACAGTTTGTCCCAAGTCCACAAAGTGGCTAATTTCTCTCTCTCTCTCTCACACACACACACACACAGAGGGCCACTCAACCACTGTGTCACATTGATTCTTATTTCTTTTCAATAAAGATTTGTTTTTTTTTTTTTTTTTTTTTTAAAAAAAAAAAAAAAAAAAAACCATTTGAAAATAGAGCAACAAAAAAAAATCATGGTAGATTAGCTGGGTTAAGAAGTTTTAAAAAGCATTTTTTAACATAAGTGATCAACTTCATTTTATTTGCTAAACAAGTATGTAAAAGAATTTTAGGTTCAAATTATGTACCTAAAGTTAAACCTTTAACGAGCCGAATAGCATAGTTTTAGGAATGTCAGAAACTTCGAGCTTGCTTAGTTTGTAACTATAGAAATAATTTTTTATTTTTGAAAAATTACTGTGCAAAAAAAACTCTAATTGATTCAGTTTTCTTAAAACTGTTTCATGAAAACTCAGTTATAAAAAGATATTTTCAGAGAACAGTCTTTTATAGTTATCTGAAAACTATTCTCTATTTTCTTAGTTTATGAAAACTGTTTTCAGAGTTACAAACCAAGCAGACCATTATGTTTTCTGTTCTCTAAATTTTTTAGAACTGTTTTCAGAAAATTGAAAACATAAAACTGTACAAAAAAAACTCTACTTAGTTCGGTTTTCCAAAAACTGCCTTCTGAATCTGCTTGGTTTGCAATTATGAGAACATTTTTTTTTTTTGTTTTTAGAAAATTGAAAACAGAAAGGTGCACAAATTTTTTTGTTTGGTTTAATTTTTTGAAAACTCGGTTATCAAAAAAAACATGTTTTCAGAGTTACAAATCAAGTAGGCCCTTATCTACTTCTCTCACTACTGATTTTGTTATTAAATAATGTGAATCCATTAAGTATCACAAGATATATATATATATATATATATTGAGGAACACAGTGGGTAGTTACATTAAACCTCCTTCATTTTGTAGGATCAACGTCACTTGTAAGAGCTAGAATTATCATCCTCAACGTTCTCAACATTTCTATACTTGTACAACCTTGCACATACTAAATAATAACCCAAGTTTAACACCCCAACCACAGTCAACGTCCAATACACATTATCTAGTCTCCCATTATTTATATCATCCGGTAACCATCCTGTTACCCTCCGAACCAAATCGATCAGGGCCGTGCTTAGATAGAAACCTATCCCGATAATCATCGCGATCATCGCAGTTGATGTGCTTCTTAAAGACACCGGAAATTCTTGATAGTACAATGCAACTTGTCCCGGAAAATGAAATGCTTCACCGATACCAACAATGACCAGTGGTGGAAGGAGCCACAAGGCCAACATTGGCACTGTGGAACCTGGCTGGTCCTGGACGTGGTGGGCTCGGGCTATATCAAGTCGCTTGGACTCCACTATGGCTGACACAGCCATGCTAAGTACATTTAACACGTGGCCGAGACCGATACGTTGGAGTGGCGTTGGAGATTGACGAGTTAGCTTTTGCCACGTGGGGCATAGGAATCGGTCGATGATGGTGAGAGTGATGGAGGTGGAGATGAATACAGTAACTAGGATTGACCCAGCTGGGATTTTGAAATGAGGCCCAATGTGACGATCCATGCTTAGAGTTTGGAGGACCACCAAGCTGGATTGGATCCCTATTGTGGTGCTTAATAAAATGCTAGTGGACCATAGTGGGAAAATTCTGATTAAAGTCTTTAGATCTTCTACTTGTTTCACACTGCATAGCCTCCATGATCTTGTGATTTTGCCTTCTAATTGTGTGTCCTCCTCTGTTTTCAGTGCTGCGCGATTCAAGCACCTGCAAATAGAAGAGTGTTGATTAAAATGAAGATATATATATATATATATATATAAATGTATTAATTCAGAAAGTAAACTTACTTGAAGCTTTTAGTTGGTGCCGTTGGCATCATGCTTGTCACCCCATCATGCTCATTGTAATAATCCTCACTTCTGGATGAAAGCAAGACCTTCCTCTTTCTAATGGCGGCAACAATAACCCGAGCTAAATCCACAAAAGGGCTCCCTTTTGGCTTAATGTGACGATAATAACGGTTTCCCAGAACAAAAATGGCCACGCCAATTACATTGGCGGCGACACACAGGCCAAACCCCATTGTCCAACCCACATTATCCTCAACATAGACAATAACTGTTGAACTTATAACTATGGAGGTGTAAAAGGTGAAGAAGAACCAATTAAAGAAGATCCCATGGTCCTTAGGCTCATCAAGTTGGTTCGCTCCCATTGTTGCTATAGTGAAGCGTGTGCCTCCGATCCCTATACACGCGAGCGCTAGAGCTGCATATAGGACCGCGAATTGGATTTTTGATGGGGCTACGCACAAAACTGATCCATTTCCACATGGTGGAGGCCTCAACAAATCGAGTGTCGCGGTTAGTAGTAAAAAAATCATGCCCTGCAAGGTGTAGATGGAGTGTATGCTAATGAAAATTTATATGCTACTGTTTTCATGGTACTTATTTATTTGTTTATGTTGTGAATTAATTCAATGGCACTGAAACATAAATTTAATAGTTATAACCAAAATTAAAGGGGCAAAAAGACACGGAAAGAAAGAAAAGGAATTACAGATGCTTAGCTAGCTTAGTGATGAAACGAGAATCCCATATAATTTTACCTAAACTTCATTATATGAACTAAACAGATTAATTAGTTCTTAATTATGCAGTTTCATGGTTGATTATTAGTACAGTATTTTTTCAAACACATTCGATCACGTGGACAAACCTATCGTTTTTTAGTTCATAAAAGTCGAAAATTATAATTATATGTTTAGTTGTAAGATGAAAGTGAAACTGATATGTGTAAATGTCACCACTTACCAGCAAAGAGAGAAAAGAAGAAATGGAGATGACAGAGAAACTGCCTAAAAAAGAGTCGGCAATAATGGCTCCGAGGACTGGAAATAGATTACTGCAGCCACTAACAACGTTAGAAATTTGGGCAGCATCGATGCTCTTCACATTAAATTTCCCAATAAGATAGACAATAAGATTGTTCGTCACACCACCAAAAGCTGCTAGTGTCAAGCCTGTCATAGTGGCTGCAATATTGAATGAAAAGAACACGTAAAAACATTTTGATGCAACATACATATATATACACACACACACACACAGTATATGAGACAAGACTTGAGAGAGACCTATGATGAAGGGGAAGGTGATCCAACCTCCACGTTTGCTACCGGAATCCGACATCTGAACTTCTGAATCGCGGGAGATTGTGCCGTCCAAGTTGCTATTTAGCTGTTGTGACTTTGTAGCTGCCATTAGTACTGTACTATTATTACTTTGACGAGTACAAGCTGATCCCTATAATATATAGCGTGAAAATATATACTACCCCACCATTATCATATATGGTGCACCTTCTCTCTCTTTGGCAGACCAAATTAAGATTCACAAGGAAATTTAAATTATGATGGTTGTGCAACTAGACCATCAATATATGTGACAGATCATTAGAAGATGGAATAATTGGCTAATGAAGATTCACTTTATGCATTTATCTTTGATTGTATTCACTGTTTGATTTCACTGTTGATTTTTTTATTTTTAAATAAATGAAATGGTGAGCATAATTTTTTGTACAATTTTCTATTTTTAGTTTTTTGCGACAGAAAATTATTTCAATAATTACAAACCAATCAAACTCTTATTTTCAGAACCCGAATTCTACACGGATGAATCAATGACAATTAATGATTTTGCGGACACTATTCAACATGTCATGCACAATTTTAACTAATCAAACTCTTATTTTCAGAACCCGAATTCTACACGGATGAATCAATGACAATTAATGATTTTGCGGACACTATTCAACATGTCATGCACAATTTTAGGTGCCACATTTTGGGATGAAATTGAAAATTAAGTATCGAAAATTTTAACAGCTCAAATTTAGGTAATGAAATTTTTAAATAGTATTTAAAAAATAAATATTTTTTGATATTTTCTAAAAATTTTAATGTTTTGCGTTAAGTGACAAGTGATGTTCATGTTACTTAAAATTTTATTTCATTTTAAGTGATACTTATCATTTTAAATGATATTCAGATTCCTTTATCAAATAGGCTTAATCCATCAAAATTAAGTGATGAATTGAGTAATCAAACCAATACCTAAAGTTATTGAAGAAAAAAAATAAATAAATAAAAAGTTGAAAAGACTAAGGAAAAGAAAAGTGATGGTACCGGTAAAGTAGAATAAGAAGGATAAGATATCTTTTTTCTTTTTCTTTTTCTCTTTTGGGGTCTTTAGCAAACATAACTTTTTTTCTTTTTTTGTTTTGGGGGTCATGTAAAAAACAATAATTTGTTCCGCATGGATGTTTAAATCCTTTGCCGTGGATTTTCATGCGGTCCCTGCAGTGAGTTTCTATGTGATTTATGTTTGGTTACTTCATTCACTATTATTTGACAATTGAGATCATATTTGATAATTTCACCACTATTTATAAGTAATATCATAAAAGTCTAAAAGTACTATCACCATTTATGTGCATACTTTAATTTGATGTAAAGATACTTATAAATGGTAGTGAAATGTACTTATAAATGGTGTTGTAATTACCAAACATAGAATGTTGAATTGAGTTACGTTAGTATGTGACATTACTTAGTCTGCATTATATGCATACCTTACTTTGAGGGTAAAGATACTTATAAATGGTGGTGAAGAAAGTTTTTAATTTTTTTTAATTGGTGTACCCAAACGCTGTCTCAAGAACTATTAAATGAAGAATGATGTGGCAAAATATAAGCTACTTAAAAGTCACTATAGGAATCACATAGGATTATGATTCTCAATAGAGATACTTTATTTTACACTCCATATTTATTTATATTGGGTCTTGTAATATGAGAGAACTTATTCAACATATATAACTAATAATTTTTTTTTTAGTATTCTGTTTTTGCATACTAAACCTTTTTTTTAGTCTTGTCAAATGCGATAAATGATAATGTATTCAACCAGAAGATTAAAATTCAATAGAGATAGTTTCTTTTTTTGGGTCCTATCAAAATAGATAATTTATTTAATGGATATAATTGTGTTTTTTTTTTTTTGGGGGGATTTTTTTTATTGATATATATATATATATATATATATATATATATATTTTTTGAATTTCTTTGAGTCTTGTCAAAAGATATAATAGGGGATTTTTTTTTTGGGTCATATCAAAAGAGACCCAAAAAATTAAAATTGGAGGGGGAATTATATTCGGAAGGATAATTGTGTAATTTTTTTAAAAAAATTATTCTCTTGCGAAATTAGGATTAAAAGTGCCATCTCTTTTTAGATGAGAGTGCAAATTAGAAAAAGAGAAGGCTTACATCGCACCCTCTAAATTTGATTTAGCATTTTTACGTCTTTTAACAAATTTAATCACCATCATTAATAAAAAATAACAATTGCTATGGGGAGTGAATTAAGAGTGTGACAGAATTCCACCACTAAATTGTCTGGGCCATTCGAGCTAGTGACGCTTGAGAGCAGCAACACCAGTCATAAAATTAGATGGAATATATATATATGGCAGGGCCCTAATTCTCATTATGCAATTAATTAGTTGTTAAGAGCTGACTTCAACGCGCTGACATCGCACTTACATTTGCATTTGCCTTACTAAGGCCAACTCTTGTCTTTGTTTTGCACTCTTGTTTCAAGTTTTTAAATGATAAAAAAAAAAAAAAAGAAAAGAAAGAATTCTATCCTATATAAGTACACTATTCATCAAGGACCTATATACTACGTACCCACCGCGTACTAATGATGCACATTCTCTCTTCGTACGTCAAACGAAAGAGTCATACATATATTTAAATTTAAGTGGTTGTGCACCAAGACGAACAATGTAGCTCAAACAGTACAAGAAACTCCCACACAAAAGAACTACTATAATTCTACATTGACAATTAAAGATTTTGCAGACACCCGTTCAACGCATGCGGCATGACAGATCGCAATTCTAGGCGCCACACATGCAAATGCTTTTTAAGTTCAATTGTAACACTTATGCCACTTAAAATCAAGGGTCTCTCCAGCTATCTTTTACTTTTGCTTTTCATTGAAAGAGTTATATGAAGAGCTTCTATGGTGTTTTGCTTTAATTTTAGCATTTTTATGTCATTAAACAATTTTATTGACAGTCGAAGGAGATAACTTAATGACAGAACTCTTAGTTCACATTTTCAGAGTTATGAGTTCGAATTCCTTTTAAAATCACTTCGAGAGTTATGAGTTGGTTGTGGATGCTCAAAGAGACGCGGCACATCCATCACTTGGCGAAGAAAAAGAAAAAAACAAGAGAAAATTTTGTTCCAATCTAGGAAGTATAGATACGGATATGTATATAAGTACAATAAGATATGGGTAGAACGATATGACAAAATTTTAAAAAATTGGATATGGGTATGGTAAGATAGGACAATAATTTATTTTTTTATATATACAAAAAAAAAAAAAAAAAATTGGTCATTTTTTAAATAAAATTATGAATTTAAATGCAATCATTAATATGTTTTAATTTTTGTACTAAATCATGATATATATATATATATCTCAATACTTCTTTTTAGAATAAAATTTAAACTTTTGTTAACTACTATAATATGATAATATGGTGGGAAGAGTTACATTTTAATGTTGAAATCTTGTTAAAAAATGTGTTGTTAAGTATCTGAAAGTACCGGGTATGTAGTCAAAGAAGTATCTCACATATACGTGTTAAAAATAAATAAACGCTAAAAGAAAAAAGGGCTTCTACGAGGGGCCAAAAACGCGGTGGAAACCTATTCACGGCGCATTCTAGGCACTCGTGTATGAGGGTTCCGTAAATACTCAATTTTTTTTACGAGAAAAAATCTACCTCGTAGAAAAACAATAGAGTCGCCGTAGAGAATAATTTCGTTTATATATATTAAATTTTATTTAATTAACCTACGAGGTGCCGAGGCATGCCGTAGAAAAGGTTTCTACGGTGAATTGTAACTACCCGTAGAAAACTCACGAGACACCATCGCCTGCCGTAGAAAATTTTTTTACGGCGAAGTATAACTACCCATAAATAATCTCACGAGGTACCCACGACTGCCGTAGAAAAGTTTTCTACGGCAAGTTGTAACTACCCATAAATAATCTTACGAGGTACAAAACCATGCCGTAGAAAAATTTTCTAAGGCGAATTCTAACTACCCGTAAATAACATCACGAGGCATTAAATCATGTCGTAGAAAACTTTTCTACGGCAAATTTTAGGTACCCGTAAATAATATAAACCATTCTCCCGACTTGCCGTACATGCCGGAGGATTTTCACTTATTTACGGTATTTCAAGCTCCCCGTAAATAATATATATATATATATATATATTATAAATAATGCACCCTTAATTAATTCCTATTAATCATCCACTACCTATAATTCACATCACTTTCAGCTATAATTCATTTCAATTCAAAAAACATACATATCCCATTAAATAGATCAAAAGAGTTAAAACATTTTTACAATTCATCATTTATCAATGTTCCAAAACAGAAAATACATCCATTTGTCAAGAAAATCATCAATTTCTTAACACTTCTGTTGAAAAATTGATAAACCTTCTAGCACTTGTGTTTCAGTCTGCACTTGTCAAAAAACCAGCTCATTGTACAAAATCCAAGGAAGTAGCTGCAAAATCCAAGGAGGTAGCTGCAAAATCCAAGAAAGTAACTATATCACACAAGTCTTAAATTCAGAATGCTAATAAAAAAGGAAATAACAAGATTATCATTTTATGAATCAAACACAAACATTTTGCTAAGAATTTTTTCCTTAGATCTGCTTTTATATTTGAAGCAGATAATTTTCCTTAATTGAATACTAGATTTTTGCAAGGATGTATGAGAACAGACAATATCATAATCTCTTTATATTCATGAACACTACAATATCATAATATGTAGTCTCTTTATCTCATGATTATGAGCAAATCTGAAACATTCTGAAACAAATCGGAAACATTGTAGGTTTTTGGTACAACGATTATGAGCAAATCTGAAACTTTAAATATAAGTCAAGTCTTATATATATATTATCTCAGTTTGTTGGTAGTTTAATTTATATATGTTTTTTTTTTTAAACTGAAATTCAGTGTTTTAACATTGAAGATGCTGTTGTAACCTTGCATTGGAATATACGTTTGTTTGTTAATTGGTTATTAATACCTAAGCAAGTGTATCTAGCCTATTGAAGACTAAGGGAGTGGACTTCTTCGGGACGTTAAAGGGAACTCGAATAAGTTTAATTCAAAACTCTCAATTTTTTCAAAGATTCAATCTTTTAGAATTAAAAAGGTCTAGTGATATAACAGGTACCTTGATTGAGGTTTTTTCAATCAAAGATTCAATCTTTTCTCAT